TGGAGTACTGGACAGCTGTTTCACCCCAGTTTGGGAATCATCGGCAGTACGCACACAGTGGGTGGGTTTCAAACCCAGGACCTTCCGGTTACAAGGCAAGCTGGCTCGTATACCGTTCACCCACAGGGACCCGATTCACTGGCCCATGAATTCTAACTTGTAAAAACAAATCTAATCCTTATAAACCAACTGTTGTTAATTAATCTGATGCTCGCTAGTGACTTGCTACAGGAGTTCTAGTGGGAAGTGAGTTCCATCCAGTCAAGTGTGATGACATTGGTTGGTGGTCGCGCTAAATCGCGAATCGGTAGAAGTTAGAAATCATGACCTGGCCATTGAATCAGGTCCCAGTGTGTGTGTATTGCCGATGATCCCCAAAATAGGATGAAACAGCCGTCCAGTAAATTATATTCGACAAAGAATTCATAAGACCAATCATATACTGCTAAGATTTATCCTCGAAAACGTATTACTTAATGTAATGTGCAGTTTAGAAAGAGTGACTAATTGGAAGTTAGAAAAGTGGGCAGAAGTTGGCATGACGTAATAAGTGTGAAAAAATGACTAATCAATATGATTGTGCAGAATGGATAGGAACTAGTAGAAAGACGATGAAGTGTTTTTATAGTGAATCTGTACAAAAACGCAATGTTATTAGTAAACAGTAATAGAGTTATAATAGAATATGATGAGGATTATAATAATCATAATAATAAGCTTATATAATAAAAAAGAAGCAATATTATAGTAAGAACGTTACTCTGGCCACGGTAGGCCGAGTTCTAGTTCACAATGACTGAAGTTTATCATCATAATATTGTATTCCTATAGGAAATTGATACTGACTATAACGACTGGGTGTTTTTATCGACAAAAATAACTACAATAACTAAAGTAATAAATAAACAAAGACAGATAAAATTATACACTTTCTGGTGTTATTCTTCTTTTCCTTGATCCTTAATCCTTTGAATAGTAAAAAAATTATCCACTCTTTGTATGTATATATATACATCTCCTTTACGTTCCCAGTCGAACACAGGGCTTCAAGCTAGAGGCTTCAAGTTTTGGTAGCAGTCTAGTTTTATTTTTACGGGATAGGGCTGTCTAACCCTCCCTCTTTACCTGTCTTATTGCTGGTTTAGAGAGGTAAGAGAGTGTGTCGGCTGGGAATTGAACCCCGAACCTCCTGGGTGGTTGGTGTGCATTCTACCGCTGTGCCACCGACGCACAGGTGTATGTAGAGAAGAAGAATTCGTCACTGTCAATAAACTATCCAATAATTACATAAAATTAATTAATGAAGAAGATATAGTTGCATCATTCATGGAGAGTTCAAACAAGTTCATTTTATTTAATTCACTTTTAGATATTCCCGTCTGTTGACTGGACCAAAGTGCTCGGTCTCAGGTTGACATGTCGGCCCAAGTGGATAACGCTTTGGCGTTTCAAACTATGGGCACTAGTTCGAGCGTCGGTGGGAACACTATCACTCACTCACTGAGGAATGCAGGTACATTCAGATGACGAGTCCCATATAGGAAGAAATGCGCGTCCTGGACTCCACTGCTAGTCACCATCCACCAATTAAGTTCACATTATATTAAAGACAGCACTGGAGATGTTGTCTAGTAAGATAACAAAGCGTCACAATTAAATCAACCAACTTAGAGAACACAACTAAGTCATAATCATCTACTTGACCTACAAATCTTCTCTATTTTTAATACAGCAGCATCTTGTCTGTTTAAAGTAAACACAGTAGATAAGTACATCTTCACCGATACCTTTTGTTATGTATTGGTAAGAAGAAAAGTTTATCAAATAGCCATTGAAACTTATAGATTTCAGGTTTCTGTTTCTCTCCTGAGTAATTAGAATCTTAATGGATTTCATGTTACAGCAGTTAATTAGAACAAAGTAAAATACATATTAAGAAAAGTTTGATCACGAATTGACCTCAGTTAGAATACTGGATATCTGTTTCCTCCCCTCCTGGGTCTCTTCAACCGTACGAAATGACTATCCAGTACACCCTGATTTTCAATGGTTTTGTAACTGAAGTCATTTCCTGGGCAAACTTGACATCAATCAAATTCCTGCAAACCAACGTTTGATTATATATTTTCCTGAAATGTGGCTTGAGCAAGAAGCCTACTGTAATTCAAAATTTTCTGAGTAATTAGCGGATATATGCGGTAAATTCGGAGTGTTTTGAACCACTGGTTATACGTTTGTTTTGTAGCATTCTCCTCTTTTTGTGGTATAATGGACAGTGTAGTCTGTTAACTAGTTGATTAAAATCACTTCCTTGAAGATTTATGTCTTCGATTTTTGGTTTTACATGTAAATTGTTCCAAATTTATTCCATGTATTCACAGTTAATTTGTACTTCAGTGATCCAAAGGTAGGTTTGATGCTCGCCAACCACGCCTGACGTAGTCCAGGGTCTAATCCCCAGCCGAAGCACTCCTAAACTCCACTAAGCCTTTAGCAAGGCCGATAAAGAAGGTAGGTTGGGCATGAAGCTGGCAACCCCTCCCCCCTCCCTACCGTAAAAATAAAACCACTGCTACTGAAACCTCAAAGCTCAAGCTTGAGAACGTCAAGGAATGTATGTAATTTACAGTTATTTAACTGTTGCCGCATTGTCTTTATCACTGTTTCTTAACAAAAAATGGTGATGTATAAGATATAAATATCTTAATTCCCCGGCTTTCGTTTCCTTTTGATAATTAGATTTCAATTTGTTGATGAAAAATGTGGGATTCGGAAGTGGTCAGTTCATGTCATTTTAAAGTTAATAAAAAAATATAAGAGATTATACCGTATTCTTATTATGTGGAGATAGGATTTAATAGGCCTGGGTATTGAACGTTCCAACAACACTGGACTTTAAATTCCAAATTTTTATCTGATTAATAAAGTAGTGCAGTAATCCCCTTGGAATTCAATGCATCAGCTTACAGGATAAGCCTACCAGACTGCTTCATTATAATAATTATTATTCCTTTAGATTCCGAGTAGGATTTAGGGCTTCGGTAGCACTTCGTCATTTCATCATGTCTTTTGTGTCGTGTCATCTTTACCTGACTTCATGCTTGCCCATAGGCAGCTTTCGTTTCTTCCTCACACGGTCTCCTCCATTTCACCATCGGAGCGACACCCAACTCGTCGTTTCGCGTCCGTGTTCCGCTCGAGGACCGACCTGGTGGCACTCAGCGGTCTCCTTAGCATATATCCAATCCATCTCTAATTCCTTCTGCATATTTGTTAGGCAATAGATTGTTGGTTAGTTCGTTGACTGCCGAATGTTCCTTGCTGGTTATCGTTTCCAGCAGGCCATCTCATCTTCAGTATCTAACGAAGACTTAAACTGCATTGGGTATTATTTATTTATATATTGTGTGTACAACACATTTTCAAAGTTATTTCTGGTATCTTTAAGTGGCAAAACTTAATACTTTTTAACCCTCAAACCAAAACGATGATATACTTTGAACTCTGAAAACAAAACAAAAAAGTAAATTAGTGCAAATTCTCTTGTTATTTTGTGTGGTTAGCATAAATACTCAACTTGTTTTCTAGTTGGTTAATTAGTTAGCTAGTATTGATCAGTGATTATTGGTGATTCTCACCTCAGAGAAGGTGAAAGACATAGTTTCAGCTAGTATTGAACAGGTTACAGTCTGGTGTATAAACTGCTTCCTCATGTAATTGAATACAGTTCTGAATGTCCAGTTAAATAACAATAATTATTTGCACATCGGATAAGAATCATGTCAGTACACACTAGAGGTGAGCTTTTGGCTTACTAGAGCCTATAATATGAAAGATGTTTATAATAACTCTAATTACATCACTGCCTCTCCTCTTGTTAACGATAATTTCAGTCTAATGACATGATGCGCAGATATGTCGGATCCGGTGTTATATTAATATTAAACCTCGATAGTGCTACAGTTCGAATCAACAGCCTTCAGTTACTAACTACTCAATCGTCATCCGTCATATGGAAGCCATTCCAGGTATTCTGTCCAACAAACCTGTTCCCCTGGTTCAAATTCAGTCTAATAGGCACTGACTGCAAAAAAGCTCAACCGGAGAGTTCGTGTGGTGGTTTTAAAAAGGGACTCAGTTAGGCATAATTCGTGATGATCGCAGTGAAATGATGATGGGGATTGTCAGCAGTCTGGTAACTCAGATGGTAGATAACTGGGCTAGATTGTAATCTTGAAGGCCGCTGGTTGGGATGCTTCTTTGTCTTAGGTCTTAATTTCACCTACAATCATCAAACAGTACCTGGAGTTCTAGTAGAAATTCCTACTCAGCGGGATTCACCAAGTTAGGTAAGAGGACAGTTACTCGTCGATGACATTAGGCGGTGGTTGAGCTATATACATTGCTAATTAACAGAAGTTGGAATTCATGGGCCATTGAATCGGAACCCAGTGACTGAATGGTCTACATGTTCACCTTGTAGCCTGTAGTCATTGCGTTCGAGCCTCGGTGGATGCTTACTGTCCCGGTACTGATTGGTTTTCCAGTTGTCCCGTAACTGGTGTCAGCCCGCGATTAAATCTGTAACCAGTCGAGACCCTGGAAACCGACACTTGAAAAATTTCAAGAGTTTCAGGTTTGGTCACAGATTAATATCGGTTATAGAACCATTGAAGACCAGGGAGTGCTGGATATTTGTTTTGTCCTAGTTTAGGACTCATCTGTAGTATACACCTACTGGGTTTCGAACCCAGGGCCTTCTGGTTATAAGGTTAGTTCGTCGACAGGTGAGTGCGTACTGCTACTGGGGTAGGACGAAATAGCTGTCCAGTACTCCCAGGTTTTCCAGTGATCCTCTAACTGATATCAGCTCATGACGAAATCCTCCAACCAATATTACTGATCGTGTTGTTAGGCTTACTGTTCAATTTTGATTCGTAATATTACTAATACTCTCAACTTTTTGTTTCTTTTTCTGTCTTCCCATTGTGTAATGTTAGATTTCTCGCGTGAGTTCACGCCGCTAGTATTGTATCCGTTCCATACAACTTATATGACTGACACACTTTGCTGTTTCACTAACCAAATTATATACAACCCACGGGGTTTAATGCTCTTCTCGCCATCTTTGTTTTTGTTTCTCTGTCACTTTGAGTTTTAGATCATTTTTGCTGCTTAGCATAATTGTGTTTTACAATTGCCCCTTCTTTTTGAAAAAAACAATACGCGCGATAATTGGCTAGCCAGGTTTTTGTGTCTGGTGTAATTTTGCCATGCCTTCCGTTTGTTTCACCATTAACTTAATGTTTATATATATGTATACATGTCTATAATATAACTGCTCTAGTTAACAGTTAGTCTAACCTTGCTGCATTAACCAAAAAATGTTTTTTTATTATTAACACTTACTACCTGAATGCTGGCTGAGCACGCTTCACTTTTCGCTCTACATCACTTAACCGTCGTAGTTTATGCGCCTGGCTTACCTTCTCCTCTGCTTTGGAGTAGTGCACTAGCTACTTTTGCTGTTGTCACCTCCTCCTCCTCCTACACTGACTGCCGCTGCTGCCGCTCCTGAACAAAGGCACAAAGCCCCACAGCTATTATCTATTTAATTAACCAATAATAACCGTTAATAAATAATTAAATACGTATATGTATTTTTAAAAAAGTTGTTCATATTAATTATTTTATTTAGGTAAAGAAATCATCATTCCATTTAAAGAAATTTGTTCCAAAATTCTTATTACGTAAAAGAAAATAATTGTTAATCAGCTATTAATCTTGTCATGCTAACTACTACTACTACTATTACCACTCATTTGTGTATTATTTCTCGTCTCATAACTTATTTGTATATTATAAAGTAGTACTGCTATAAGATGAGAGATTAAATAAAAAATAATGTTTTCCGATTATTATTACGAAGAAATTTTTGCTGTTTATTTTTGTTTTTGCTTCATTTTTTTATCTTAAGTAATAAAATAATCAAAAAAAAAATTATCAGCTGTGATTTTATTACTATTATTAATGTTGTTCTTTTGGGTTCCGAGTGGAACATGCGACTTCAACAACACATCTCCACTCTGTTCTGTTTTTTCTGCTGTCCTCTCTTCATCTGGGTCCACGGTTGCTAACAATCTCTCGTCTCCTCCTCCCCACATGATCTCCATGTCACCCCCGCACTGACGACCCGCTTGTCGCTTCCCATTGTGATTCCACTCGCGCGATGGCTTTTATTGTGCGCGATTTCACTCGACGGTCTCCTCACCGTATGCCCAATCCATCTCCATTTCATCCTACATTTTTGTTGACCGATCGGCTCTTGGTTGGTTTGTTCCCAGCCAGAGTTTCTTGTTGCTAACTCTTTCTGGCCATTTGATCTTCATTATGGAGCCAGTGAAGACAGCTGTTGATGAAATCCCGCAACCTGTTGGAAATCCTTTTCGTGACACGCTGGTCAAGTTTTTGACCCGTATAGAAGGATAGACTTGACATCGGTGTTGAAAATGCAAATTTTGTTCCTTATACTGAGTGCAGAAGATTTCCAAACTGGTTTCAAGTTGGTTAAGGCGTATCTTGCTTTTCCGATTCTGACTGGTTTTGCCGACCATGCACATGGTTCGGGGTTCGATCCCCTGCCGACGCACATCTGATATCTATGGTCGGCCTGCAAAATTTGGGCTACCGATACCACATGCTGAAAATTCCATACCTGTACCAAAAAATACGGTGTGGAATCAAGCTGTAATCAAAAAATCAAAAACATCTTCATCCGTTCCGTGTGCCTGTAGTTGAAACAATGCTTCCTAGATAAGTGAAGGAAGCCGTGATTAATTGTCTATAAATTCGTTGAAATAAGTTTTATGCAACCAGATGAGCGCGCTTATCATCAATGTGATGATCACACTAACCAAGATACTCTATTATTTGAACTCACATAGCCGTGTAAGAGCTTATGGAGATACGATGTCATCTGAGATGATGATAACCAACGGTGTCCATCAGGGATGACCATTGTCCCTATTTTCCGTTGTTGTTTAATTTCATTGTAAACATACTAATGGAATTGATCCAAACTAACTTAAGTGAATTAGAGATTGACTTGTTAACAAGAATATAAGAATAGAACTTGAACACTGTGAATGCGTATTTATTTGATAAAGTCTCGCAATGTTATATAATAATATTGACTGCTGACAAAGTTTCGAGCACAACTTATTGTTCATAATCATATCATCAAGTAAACAGGGAACATGGTCTTATTGACTTGGAGTATGTGGATATTGTATCAGACCTAATCAACTGGTTGCTGACCAATACCTCAAGAAGGATACAAAAGCCTCATGTGGGGTTTGCTAACTTAACGTCATCTCTGATGGTGATGTGATATCCGCCTGTCGATCAAAAGGCGTATGTACTGCGTAGTAGTTTGCTCTATCCTGCTTTATGGCCGTAAGATGTGAACATTTGAAAGTGGAGGATATGAAAAGACTAGCTGTCTTTGACCATAGATTTTTGTATTCTGTCTCTGGTGTTAACTGGTATAATATGGTGAATAGCAGTGAGGTTAGACACAGAGGTTTAGTCAGTAATTGAGGTGGTAAAACTACGTTGATTAAGATGGCTAGGATATGTGTGCAAATGTTGTGCATCCCGAGCCGTTGCCTTCCTCGATCGGACATCGGATTATTTTGTTTTGTTTTTAAATGAAAGATTGGATTAGAAATTTTTTCTAGCGTACGTATTATCGGTAGCACTATATACTTGAACTGCGTTACACTTACTGCACTTTTATCATAAAATGTGGTTTGATAACTGATATCTGCGCAATGTGTAATGGATTAAAGGAGGCAGTAAGTTCAAAAGTTAAGCGTATATTGTTGAATTATAAAATCATGGTAGTATGTTTTGGCCTATTTATAGAAACACTCTAATACCTATCGGATAAAGGCGACGCTACTTTAAAAAAAGGGATAAACCATGTACTCGTCCGTGAAAATCTAACTTTCATAAGAATAGATATTTTTCATTGTTGATGCCTGTTTACAGTGGAAATTTGTTGGTGGAAAATTTCACAAGTTTACTAATTGACTGATTGAACAGGCGGGAAAATTTGAAATTGAATTAAATAATTAATAATAATAATAATCTACTTTATTCCAAAAAAGTACTTATAATACAGAATGGAATTCTCAGCATTTGTCACAATATTGCATCTGATTTACTCAAAATATAAATAAAATAAAGAATTAAAACAAAAGTAACCAGAGGAATTTGTCCACATTTACGGCATAAAGTCAAAAATGTTCGAAGTACGAATTGAGAATATTAAATATAGTAATAATAATAATAATAATAATAATAATAATAATAATAACAGTGAGTTTGTTTCAAGCAGTATTGTCGATTCAGTTTGGAAATTTTAGCATGTTATAGATAATAAGACCCGTTTCACAATAGGTGGCTCTCGTGGCCCAAGCGGTTTAGTGGATAACACTATGGCGTTTGAAACTATGGGCACTGAGTTCGAGCTTTGGTGGGAACACTATCACTCACTTACTGTGGAGTGCAGGTACATCCAGTGACGAGTCCCAAACAGGACGAAATGCGCATCCTGGATTCCACTGCTAGTCAGTCACCATCCACCAGTTGACTTCAAGTTACATGACCAGACATCATCGAAGCATATCTGCACAAGGAGGAGCCGACATGTCAACCTGAGACCGAACACTTCGGTTCAATCAGTCGACGGGAAAATCTGAAATTGAATTAAATAATTATAAAAAGGGTAAAATCTAACTATAGTATTATATGAAAAGTACTTTTACTTTTGATTTACACTTTTATATGATGAATAAAAATATGATGATATCAATCAGTACCAGACATTTATGCTTCTATTTTAGTAATAATAATAATAGCTTTATTCCATAAAATGTCTTCACACAAGGTACAGCATTCTCAGAATGTTCTATTGCAAAGTATGTTTTCCTTGTATAGAATCTTCAAGTAAATTAAAAATCGATAGTAATTTCTCATTTGAAGTCATATTCTTCTACACAAAGTACATTTTAATGATTTGTAGTGGGTTTCCTTCATTTACTGCAAACCAACCTAAAGCAGTAGGTAGAAGTCTATTTGAAAATGTACGTCAGTGTACACATTACGATTCCTGCATGTAAATTGGATGATTAAAACAACGTGAAATAGATTAAATACGCTACATCTTGATGGAAGAAAAATCTAGTAGCCTTTAAGTTCATTCAAGTGTAAATTTAATCTTAAAGCAATATTATATAAGAATAGCAGTTGCTGTTGTTGGTGTTAGACATCAGTTACCCGGAACAGATATACCATACATGAGACTATGAGGCACACTTATTATATGACACTTGATGATACTACTCAGTTACTTACCTTACTTTACTTCGGCTATCTCCTACGGGAGGATGATCCGGTTTCATGAACATCTCGAATCATCGCTGCCCAGGCGCGGCGATCTGATGAAGAGAGTTCATGAAGTTTCATGGGAATTTGGTACGAGTGATGTCCCCAGAATCGCTCGGCCTTTTGTTTGAGAGTGCAGCTCTAGCCTTTACACAACCAAGTGTGACCTACAAGGCAGTAGGAGTGGAGTAGGGAGTCCACTATCCATTGGCAGCCGGTGACCGGAATTCGGTTCATACGCCTTTTTGAATGGGGCCAGACATCCAGGACATCCAACAAGCCCTTTGTCCATACGTGTGCCGGTGAGATCCAGTGAGCTTCATACGCTAGTCGTTAGAGGTTTGGAATCAGGGTTTAGCCATCTCCCCTAGATTGTCATCCAATGGACAGTCAACCCGGTGAAGAGCACCGGGCATCCGCTTTCGCCCTCTCACTTTGGTGAAAAACACCTCCGCCACGTGAAGGCAGTGAGTAGGAAGGACTTCCTCAGGAGAGACTATGTAAGACGCCCGGTCATATGGGAGCATTTCAAGAGGTGTGCGGAGGGGTGGCCAACCCGCAGCGCAAGGCACCCACCCCCGACCATCCGGAGGCTTTGGAGGCTACTACTCAGTTGGCTAAACTGAATTATGTAGAGCGGGATTCGAACTTAAGAGTGACAGCGGCAGAATATCAACTACTTAAGCACCCACATATCCACACACGGTTAACCAGTGGGAAGCGAATCATGCAGTAGTATTTTCTTATCGACAATACCCTTGGGTTTCATACTAGATAGTTTTTATTTCACAGTACACACACAGTAATACAGTATTATAATAACATCTGGATGACGTTTCAAGCGAGGTTTATTGTTCATGACCTTATTAATGTGATCACACGACTTCCTGACTCGCCTTATATACATAGCCTTACTCCCTCCTGTGTCTCATTACAATTTTCTATGTATCAGGGACAGGTGTGTGGTGTTGATTCGTTGATTAGCTTATCGCTCCACCTAACTTTATTACTTCTTTTAAAGCTGTCACACCCTATTGTGTGATTATATATATATAATTTATTCCTTTACGTCCCTAGTGAAACATAGGGCTTCAAGCTAGAGCTTTGAAGTTTCAGTACCAGTGGTTTGTTTTACGGGGTTGGATTGCTGGCCTCCCACCCAACCTTCTCTCTTTACCGCTCTTACTATATGCTTGATGATGTTTAGTAGTGCATCGACCGAGGATCGAACTTCGGACCACGTGAAGCGTGGTTGGCGAATGTTCTACGGCTGAACCACTGACGTGATTATATGTAAGTGGATGGATAACAATTGTCGAGCTTTATTTCTTTCGGATTTATTTAACTTAGCAGAGTTAATAATTCTAGATCTAGCCAAATTTCTGCGCTCTGATCCCCTGTCTACTGGTCTGAAATGTCATCATCATCATCGTCCAGTTATTAATACTGTATCACTTATCCAATATGGAATTAT